CGTGGGACTCAAGCTCACCTTGTCTGAAGCTAACAGCCAAGACAGGCAGCTGGGCACATATGGGAGTCGCGAGGGCGCTGTGCTCCCACCACAGCCCCATGAGGACCTGGAAGTCTACTGCCATCCATCCAGTTACACACCCACACATTAGCCATACCCCTGAACCAAGGCCCAGCTGAGTTAGTTTCCCTACTCTGGGAAGTCCATTCTGGTATCTAACTGCCATCCTTCTTACAGCCAATCCTGCCATGGCAATCTAAGCCCTCTTCTCGTCTCGACAAGAATGGTGTATGAGGGACCTGGGCCATCAGAAGCCTTAGTTGAGGAGAGGTGGGGGCAGTTGAGACCGTTAAGTGTGTCACCTTCCACCTCCCTACTCGACTTCCCCCTGGGGTCTCAGGAGACAGAAGTGAAAGTTGCAGCTGGGCCTTGAAGACAGATCATCTTTGGCAGGCGTTGGGATGAGCATGATGCCACTAGTGCTGGTTTGGGGGCTGTCTGCTATTGCAACAACCGGTGCTAACTAGAGAGGTGGAGGGACTTCCCATGGAAACAGGAAGAGTAGGGAATTCTGAGCATGACATGGGCCACAGAGCAGGCTGGAGAATCTCACAAGGGTGGTCTACTGGGGCACTTTTTTTTTTCAAGCATCCAGGAACAGACCAAGAGCTGAGCCCCGATTGCTGGGCTTCTGGGATAAGGTGAATGGGACCCACGCTGAGACCAGACAGGCTAGAAAGAGGCCAATCCAATCAGGGATGCCAAATCCTCCTGGTATTGTGACCTCAAGGAGCACCAAGGATTTAAAGGGGCCTTGGCGGTGGCTGGATCTCTAAGCCCTAGGCAGAAGGTGGCAAGGCAGCTCCTGTGGGATTAGTTTATTGCTTTAAGGAAAGACTAGATGAAGATGGGTGTCTAGCCCATGGGTCCTGAGCACCCTTGGGCAAATACACTCTCTCATCAAAACACGCCCTTATCCTACAGTTTCTTCAGAACACAGCAGAGACCCCTCTGACTTTGTCAGCAGTGAGGGTTCCTTCCTCTGAGGGGAAGCTCTCAGGGGCTTACCAGCAAGGCCCATCCCTGGGAACAGGTGAAGGTTTCCTTTCTCCTCAGCTCCCCACCCCCAACTGCAGGCTGACAGGTGGGGAGAAGAGTAGGAACAGCTGGGCCAGGACACCTGTTTCCCACTCCATGCCTGGCCACGGGCCTGCTTGGGGACCACACGGGGGAGTCTGCCAAGAGGCAGGCAGGTGTGGGGGCAAAAAGAGAGGGGTCCAGATGTCAGGGGAGAAAGAACAAGCAAGAAGAAGCACCCTCACCCACCACACGCGCTGGAGGAGAGCGGCCCATGGCCAGACTCCAGCCCCTGCTCACAGTCCTCACTTCATACTTACTTCATCTCCTGGGACAGAGAATCCAGAGGCCTATTCCCCTGCCATCTGCCCCACCCCCTCCATTGACCCCCTTTGTCCTGTCTTTATTCCCCTGGCCTTCAAACCCAGTCTGGGGAAGGAGGACCTCACGAGGAACAGGAAAGGACCTGCCTGGGACATCTGCGGGGCAGGTCTGAGCCAGGGGGCAGCTGGCTTTGCATGGGAAGGAGGTCCTGTTTCTCACGCCACTCCAGGGTCTTGCCCCTTCAAAGATTTCTCCAGTCCTTAGCCCTACACCCTAGGTCTTGGCTGACAGTCCTAAGCGAGGGTGCAGCTGTGATACTTCTCACTGAACCTACTTCCTCTAGGAAAGGCAGAGGATAAGACTGCCCTGCCCCCAGCTGCCTTCAATCCCTTTCCTCTCTGTTCCAAGCAGAGTTCCAGGGGCCTTTGTGTGTTGCTGGCTCCTGCTCCAGATCCTTGCCTTGGGGCTTCTTCTATTGGTGGGGACATCTGAAGGAATTACTGTCTCAGGAGTCAGAGTAATGCACCCCCAAAACTGCCACCAAACCACCCTTGAGACCTCTGGGTGCTGCACTAAGATGGTACTGTGGCCTAGAGTCTCCCTCCTGCAGATAGATGCCTTCTCAGACAAGATCCCTCAACCCCTCACAATGGACTTCACTGAATAAATCCTTCGTCTTTCAGCCTCAGTTTCCCCAATGCCAAATACCAGTAGCAGAGACAGAACCCGGCCCAGCTTTGGACTCTTTCACAGAGATAACAAATGGTACTCCTTCATCCCGTTCTGGGGAATCTCAAAAGTCTTCATTTTTGACTCTGAACCATGCACCCTGTTAAACTGGGTGTGCATGGGTAATGCTGGAGGGGAGAGCTAGGGACAGGCAGTATACGCCTTCCCTGTGGCATGTTGTCTGCCCAATGCTAGGGGAGTGGCCCCAGAACAGCCAGGGGCACCACGCCAAGGTCAGTGACCAAGCCTGGAGCTCAGGGCCTCCTGGGAGGGTAAGTTTAAATGAGTAAATATGGTCCCGCCTGGGTGTGGTTTGCCACAGGCCAGAGGCAGGTCACTCCCTCCAGGACACTACAGAGAGGGGCTGTCAGCCACAGTCAGCCTCCTCAATCCATGCCACACTGGCAGGGCTGCCTAATTCTGCCATTGGAAACCGGAGTAGGGGTAGCATGTGGGCTGAGCCAGGACAAAGAAAGGAGGATATGGAGAGCTTTGGGGACCTCCTAAGCTAAGGATATGCCCCCAAGTGCAGCAGAGTAGCCTCACTCAGGGAAGGCGGGCGGGGACAAAGATCAGCACGGACCATCAAGCACACAGGTGTCTATGCCACTGAAAGGGAGAAGACGGGCGACTTACCCGAGGGCTCAGGCCAGGGTGGGGGCAGTGGCTAGCCAGGGAACAGAACAGCACGGGAGCCAGTGCTCCCTGACTCACAAGGCACGCTCTCCACAGACAGGCTCTGCCTGCCCATCTGTGCTCTGACCTCAACCCCGGCACCAGCCCGGCTCTCTCTCTCTGGGTTCTGTGCGACTGCCTTCCCCTTCCTGCCTCTAGTCCCTCACCACCCCCACTCTCCAATCCTTTAATCATCTTTACCGCTGCTGCCCCCACCCCCGCAGTCAACAGCTGCTCTGTGGGTGTCACACCCCCAGGGGTGTGCTGTACATCTTGCCGCAAGTGTCCCATGACCTGCCGTAGACGGCCAGGTGCAGCTGGGCCTGCAGGAGACCCCCGGCCTGCTTTCTGGGGAAAGGGGCTCTGAGGGCAGTCTTCCCACAGCTCCGGGACAACTCTGAATATGTTTTGTCCTAGACAGGGAGAGATGAGAAAATATTCTAGGAGCCAAATAGCACCAGCCCCACTAGGCCAAAGGTCAAAGCCTTTTTAGCAGAGTCACTGGAGAATGCCTGAGATTCTCCCCTCTTTTTCCTGGCCAAGTTAAGAGCCATCTTTCCCCCAACCTAGCTTCACTGGGAAGTTCTTCCTGATATCCAAGCTCCATCCAGCCTTAACTGTGGAGAGGGCAGTGTCAGCCACAACACAGCCAGATGTCCGCTTCTATAACACAGCTCCTAGCATCTAATGCCACCGCTCCCCCATGAGTAAGTCGCCAAACTGGGACAGAAGGACAGAGGGTTGGCTGGACTCTGGCCCCATGACTACCTCATAAAAGCCACCAGTGATTACAGCGATGCGGAGGCTGTGCGGCATTTGACCATACCTCCTTCCCGCTTCCCTGTGAAGGAGGTGATTTTCTCAGGTCAACTGCCTTCAGAGATCCTACAAAGTCCAAGTGAGGGGCCTAAGATCTGACCCTTGCCAATGGGCTCTGGGCTTGCCTCAAATCATCAGCCCTTAGGGAACCTGGATAGCAACAACTGTATTTGTGACACACACACAGTATCCCCCTCGCCTGCAGCTCTCCCTCTGTAGGCCACACCGTCTGGGCAGGGGGACAGAGAAATGGATGCAACAGAGAGAAGCCAGCCTAACCACTCAACTCCGGTGCGGGTGGCAAAATTTACAAGGACCGGTGCCAGGCCAGGGCCTGCCATGGAGGACAGGGGCTAAGCTGGCAAGGGAGACGAAGCTGGAAGATGGACAGAGGTCCAGGCCAAGGACACAGAGCTAAAGACGCTGCGGCAGACGCCCCTTTCCAGAGGGCCAAGTGGGGTCTCAGTGAACCTAACCCCCTAGCCCCTGGTCCAGCTCCCAACTTGGGGAGATTTCCTCTACCTTTCCCACATGCCATCCAGGGAGACCGGGAGAAGAAAGAAAAAAATCTGCAGGAGAGATTATATAACGGCAGCCAGCCAGCCAGCCAGATCGCCCAGCCTATGAGCACTAGGAGCCAGAGGGCCAGAGCAGGGAGCAGGGTCCTCCAGCCCAGTGTCACCACACAGAGGGGGATGGGCAACCTGCACCTGCCTCCAGTCCAAGTCCCCCACACCCTGTTCCAGGCACTGGGCTTAGCAGAGCAGCACAAGCCCTCTGCCCATCCCCCAACACAAGGCTTCCCATACTTTCTGACTGGGTCCTACTGCTTCTATAGGCCAGTGCCTCCAAGAGCAAGGCTTGTATGTTCTCATTGTTAATCTTAAGAGTCTCTCCCTGCATGAAATCTGTGGTAAAAAGAGGGGAAAAGTAAACTCTGATACAGATTTGCTGTGTGATATCAGGTAAAATGCTTGACCACTCTGGTAGGTATGGGAATGAATGAAATCGCCAGCCATCCAAGTGAATGTCTCACAACAGTACACGCGGCAGGCACACACAAGGTGTGTGTGGGGGGGCACAGGAATCACAACAAAGACTACGACTGCTGAGATCCCAAGGTCCCAGTGTCCATTTCCCAGGTAAATGGGAAAAGTGCTCTCCAGGAGCTCCAGTATCCCCCAACCACCCCACACAAGGTTCTCAGCCACTCCCACAATCATCCCACCCCACCCCACCCCCATCCTGGAAGACGCAGGAAGGAAATTCATTCACAGGCAAGGCCACGGGAGCTGGGACAGCCTGGCTAAGCACTGGCGCTTGGTGGTCGATGGCCAGAGGCCAGAAGCCGGGTGTCTGGGAGCACTGACAGGTACCTCTCCAATGCTCCCCTCCCGCAGACACCTCCGCTAGAGCTGGGCGAACAGAAGGTGGACAGCTCCCAAGGCCAAGCGCACTCAGTAGGCTCCTCTCCGAGATCCAGCCAGAGCAGCCCAAGGTCACCGTCCCAGACGGCAAACTTCCCACAGTCAGGCAGCTCAGACCCACTGAGGGCCAGGGGGAAGGGGAAGATCCGCCAGATCCGCCACTCAGCCAAAGCAGCTAGGCCTCGGAGGGAAACTCACACGGGGAGGGCAGGATACCGGATCCACCCACTGTACTCCCCTAGCCTGGCCCTAATGCGCCGGTCAGTCGCATGCTGAGCTGGCAATCGGGACAAGCTGGGTAGCCCAGGGCCACTGGGAACGCCAAAGGCTCGGTGGAATCTCTAGGAGGGCTCGCTGCCCCATCTCTGCCGGGAGCACCGTAATCCCTTGGGCCAGCCTCACCACTCGAACCCTACTCGCACCAGCTCGGCCAGCACCGACCAAGGGAGGCGCGGACGGGTCCTGCCAGATGTGAACAGCTGCAAACTCCAGGCCAGGGGTTCTCCAGCTGGCGCCGCTGACACACCCGACCCAGGGGCCCCACCGGTGCGAGATCGCGGCCGGAGCCACGTGCGTTGCGCCCGCCAGAGCGCGAGGCGGCGGGGGCTTGGGTGCCAGGCGCGGCTGTCACAGCAGCCGCCCCAGCACCACCACCATCGCCGCCGCCGCCCCGCCCGGCCCGGGACGCTCGTGCCTGGGCGCCCTGGCACCCCTCGCGCTTCAGACCACCCCGCGCCCAGCCGCGCGGCGTGGGGGGAGGGGCTCTTAAAGGGGCCGGCGCGCGTCGCGACTCACCAGCCCACGGGGGAACGGGGTTGTCACGGCGCCGGGAGCCTCGGCCCGGCCCGCGGTATCCTCGGATGCGCGAAGCCGCAGCTCCGGTGGGGAACAGCGAAGACGCCGCGTCCACGCGGCCTGGGCGGCAACGCAGGGCCGGGACCCCCTGGTGCGCGCGGGGGCGGCGGCGGCGGGCGGCGGGGACGCGGCCGAGCGCCCAAGCCGCCTCGACGGTTGTTGATATTTTGCTTCCTTCCTCCTTTCGGGCTCCAAAGGCAACTCCTCCAGCCCCAGACTCGAGGCCGACGTAGGCACCGCGCAGCCTAACTTGCGAGACGGGAGGGGGGGGGAAGACGAGGGTGATGGACAAGCGGGGGGCCAATGGGAGGACCCTGCAGGGTGGGGGCGTGGCCTGGCAGGGCGGCCTTGGGCGCAGCCCCGCCCCCTGCCCTCGCCTGCGCCCCACCCCTCCGGGGCGCGCGGCCGCGGCGCGTGGAGCCCAGATCCCTCCGCCAGCGGGACAGTGTGAGGCCGCGGGGACCTCAGCACCCCGGACCCAGAGTTGGTAGAGGTCTAAGTAGATAACTTCTGGGGGGGAAGACAGTGTTGGGAGACCCCGGCTCCTCCACTTACTGTGTGACAAAGCTCCGAAGCCAGATCGCGTTCTCTCCTCCGGGTTACCTGGGGAGCTCCGCTGCTCCCTCTACCTGTGACAGGTCCCCTCCTTTCCCCTGGCCCGGCTCGGTTGACGCCCAGACATTTAAAGCAACAGAGCATAATTCTCGGGTGACCTAATCTTCAGTGCCTGCGGCCCCAGCGCACTTAACTACCAAGGGGGCAATTTAAAGGGGCGGGACCCCAGCCACCACCTCCCTTGCCTCACAGGAAATAGACAGAAGCCTCATCTTAAAGAAGAAACCTCATCTTAAAGAAGAAATAGTAACTCTCTTTTTTTTTTTTTTAAAAAAAGCCAAAAAAAAAACAACAAAATTTTTAAATCCCTGGTGGCCTCTGGGCGTGGCGAATTTTTAAGAGCTTCACAACAAGATTGTGCGCACCACTGCTTCTGAACACTGACCGGTCAGACTTCCTGTCCAGCATCCTGTCACTTCCAAGTCTCCAAGTCCTCCCTGGCTCTACCTGGAGGTTGAGGAAATGACGGGAGTCTGGCTTGGACTTCAAAGTCTTGTAGAACAGAAGCGCAGGCTCTTCTTCGCAAGCTAGGGTCTAGGTTACTGAACAAAGTCCCTGTTGTGGGTTTTGTGGGAGAGACTAGGAGAGGCGACAAGTGGTGTGTTACAAACATCTGCCTTGGAGTCAGACTGTCTTGGTTCAAATCCTTCCACTGCTTATGAAGAGCAGAGCACATTTCTTAACTCCCCTTCCTCTTGGGTAAAATGAAGGCAGTGAGCACAGTGCGTGTGGATTTGGAGTGGTCTAGTTTTCAGTAGACAGCAGAGTGCTCCTGTTGCCCTGTAATGACTCATGGACTGCTCAACTGGAAAAAAGAGTCCAGACAAGGCTCATGGGGACAAGTTCAATAGGACTGTTCTGCAAAGAGCTTGGAGACTTAAACAGGAAGCTAGCAGGCTTCTATTCCCTTGGCCTCCCTTTTCAATCCTACTTGGTCCCTCCTTCCAGAAGCCCAATTTATACAGCATCACACATGGTCCCCAAATGTTGCTCTTTAGTTTCCCTAGTAGTATGGGGAGGCTCCCAGCACAGAGACACCAGTACTCTTGAGCAGGCTAGTCTGCCCCCAATACTTCAGGGAAGGCATCTGTCCTTCCCCAGGAAAACACAGCCTTGCTCCGGCGGGCGTGGAAGCCACGGTGGGAGCAGTATGGGAAAGTGCCCTGCCAGTGGGAACCCTCCCTCACTGTGGCCTCTATTTTTAGTGCTTCCCCAGGCTCTAGCTGGAGAAACCGTTTAGTCATCAGGGTGTTTATTTTCCGGCTGTTTCCGACGTCGGGAAAAGCAGAATGTTGAGACTGGAGAGATCCAGAGCTGCTGTAAAAGACTTCTTAGGAACAGGCCTTGGGAACACTGCCTTCAGACCACTGGGTCCCAGCTCATAGGAAAACAAAACAGGATGGGCCGGGGACAGCTAAGCCCGCAGGAGTTTCCAACCTGCCTCAACCTTGGAGGCTATCCAAATTAGAGAACCCTCTGGCCCAGCTCTATCTGAAGATTGTTTCTCAAAACACAACCAAGCCCAGAAGAAAGTCCTTCCCAGAATCCCCCTCCCCAACTTCTCCTATATCTGCCTGGTGAGCCTCCCGCCAACACAACCCTAGCCAATCTCAGCCCTGAGGCGGGCCTTCCAGAGCTACGATTGGTTGGCTGGGCCTTCTAGACCTGGAATGTTGAGTCCTTGACAAAGGAATGCGGAAGGAAGGTGGGTCACCTGGAGACGGTATTAAAGGACTAGCTGGGAGGAAGAGGAAGAGGGAAGAGCTCCAGGGAGGTGGGGGCCCTGGACGCTAACTTGCTGACTAGACGCTCACCCGAGCCCGCAGTGGGGGCAGCCACACCACAAGTGACAAAATCCAGTCTGGAAACATGTTGGAGTAGAAGAGAGGAGGTGACAGCGTGAGGTCTTCACTTCCACCGAGGACCGAAAAGGGCCGAGGTAATGTTGGAGACTGGATGAAAACTGGACTTCCTGAAAGTGGCTATGAATTCTTTTCTTCTAGCCCCTGGACTTCCCATCCCAGAATCCCCTGGATGGCAAATAACTGTCTCGCGTTTCCTCTCCCATCTGACTGTACACCTATTTCTTATTCATCTATTGTGTTTGCTAGCGTGCCACGGTGCATGCTTAGAGGTCAGGGGACGATTCTGTGGAGACGATCTCTCCTTCCACCTTTCCATAGGTTTTGGGCTCAAACTCAGGTTGCTAGGCTTGCTTGGCAACTGCTTTACTGGCTAAGTCATCTCGCCGGCTTCTACCCATCTGTTAAAAAAAAAAGTCACCTTCCAGCACAAAGCTGCTGTAAAATCCCCCGTGGGCCCTTGGGACACTTAGGTGCCCACCGAGTCTAAAAAGACTAGCATGTAAACTCACCTACAATGCCATCTTCACAAGGCTCTCTGGCAAACAAAACTTAACCCTCCTTTATCCGCCCCTTCTCGGGCTTCTCCAATTCACCTGTGCTTGGAGAAAGGTCTTTCCCGCAGGACCCCATCCCTCTCAGCACCCCTCTTCCACCTGGCAGTCCTTCCTCAACCTAGGAAAAGTGGTCCTGCCTTCCCTGCTAGTCTGGTGAGCTAGCTGCTTGGCAGGCCCTCCTCTAACCTGCGCCATCTGGACAGTTCTCAATCCCCACCTCGCAACTCAGCCACCCGGCTCGTCCTTCTTCCTCCGGTTTTTGGATGGTGCCAGCTAAGCCCCTCCAATCTCTCCCAGCGGCTGCCACCACGCTTGCGAACCGGACCCCCAGCAGGTGGGCGTGTACGTTCCCAGCGGGAAGGTGGGACGCTGCACCCTGTGCCTGTCTCCTCCGGGCGCACTAGCTTGCTGGTTTGGGTTTCTAAGGTACTTTTCCTCACCAGCTCCTGAGTTCCTGCGGGGATGCAGAGCTGGCTTGCAACGCGCTCGGCAAATGTATACGCGCAGCTATGTGAGTTAGGATTGTGCAAATTCTACTGAACACCTTATTTCTGCATCGATAATCGTGGTAGCCAAGGACAGGGGTCGAGTCTGGGGTCCTACAACTCCACTTCAGGGCAGAGTCGGGGTGAGGGATAGATTGCGGAGTCCGCCCGTGTGACACAGTAGTGCCCTACGCTGAGAGCCAGGGTGTCTAGGACCAGGCGCGGGGACAAGAGCAGAGGCTCCTGGAGCTGAGAGGGAGAGGTGCAAGAGCGGGTCCCGAGTCCGTGTACCCCCACAGGAGCTCCCTGCCCCCGGCTGGGCAGGATGTGGTGGCAGCTGCAGTTGGGTGGGCAGGATGTGGGGGTGGGGGCAGATGATCGCAGCCCGACAGTAGTCTCCCCCAGCTCTTGCCTCCACCCCCTCCGGGTCACGTGCTCTCAGCTTGGGCATCGACGGACTATTTCCCATTTTCCGCGGAAGGACATCTCAAATCCGTTGTCATGGACTCAAGTTGTACCACGCCATTTTCTTGCCCCCATCACCAGCCTAGGACAAAAAGTTTGCCCAGCACAAATTTCTTTAAAGCGAGCATTAACTCGGAAGAGGCCCCTTTAAATGCAAATGAGTCGCCTTCTTGCTCCGCTCCTTCCAACCCCCCATCCCAACTTCTCTCCTCGTGCCCAAACTCCACCAGCTGCTATTGACGTCAATCGTGCGTCAGCATAGCCAGCCCAACCAGACAGCACGTGGGGGGAAGAAGGCAATCTTAAAGTGACAGTCGCTCAGGGCCTGTTAGGTTACCGGAGAAAGGAAAAGCGAAGAGGAATGCTGGAAACAGTTGGAGCAGGAAGAAATGCAGGGCAGACTTTCAGAAGGACTGCGTAAGGCCAGCGGAGTGGCTCAGGGGATAAAGGTGCTGTGCAAGCCGAGAATCATATCTCCAAAGTTATCCTTTGACCTTCACATACATCCCCCCAGACGTACAGTACTAATAAACCTTTTTAAAAAAGACTTCCCAGAATAAGTTAGTATATTCTTTTTTCGTTTACTTTCTATTGTGTGTGTGTGGTGTGTAGATCAGAGGACAACTTGCAGTAGTTAGTTCTCTCTCCATCCACCTTGTGGGTTCCTGGGTTCGAACTCAGATCATTACTTTGGACGATTTGAGGCAGTAAGCTCTCTTCACAGTTGAACCCGATGGCCCCTTTGAATCCTCTCTCTCCTCCCTCTTCCGCTCCCCTCTTCCTCCCCTTTAGGGCTTGAACCTAGGGTCTCACATATACTAAGTACACATCC